GCTGGGGGATTGAACCGCGGTCCCTGTGCTTTGCTTTAGCTTAGCTTGTTCTAAGTAGGTTCTTTAGACCACTGAGCCATCTCACCAGCCCCTATGACAGACTTTCATGAGAGAATTATGAATGCGAAATGGACACTGTAAATATACTACCCCCCCCCCCGAACTGGGGATTGAACTTGTGCTTGCCAGAGAAGCACTTATTCCACTGAGCCATCTCCCCGGCCCCGATATACTACTCTTGCAAGGGGCTTGAAGGGTCTTTAAAGGAGAAATGTGGTAGAGCTAAGAGGAGGAAGTTGAGTTTTTTTAAAAACATTTTTTGTCATTTTAATAGAAATAATAGTGTGTTTTCAGAGAGTGATGATTCAGTAGAGAGAGCTTCTGATACAGGAAGAGGGAATATTGCTGGAATTTTGAGTTTTAATTGGTGGGAGTAGGGCTGCTCTTAGAGAAGAGGACAGTTCACTCACAATCACATATTGGAAGGCAGAGTACCTGGGCAGAGCCATTTCCAGTAAAAGAAGGAGGGCTTCTGTCTGCAGACTGCGGCAGGGATTCAGGGTCTGCATCAATTCAGGCCTTCTGTTTTCATTCCCGTCTTTACTTTTCAAAAGGAGGTGTGTAAGAAAGGAAGGTTTAGAAAATTCCTAGAAGATAAGCAAGTTTAAACTTTTTCTTTTTTAATTGAAGTTTTCTGTAGTCATTAGTAACGTGCTGTGCATCTGGAATTAGATGTTCTTAAATTTCTTTGATCATGGAACCATTCCTTCCTGCCCCATGGAGAGATACTGTAAATAAGTAGAACCATTTTTGGGAAAGGCTAACCTGGTTCATTTTACCTCGATTGCCAAGTTGGTCAAAGCTTTTGTTTGTGAGAGCGGAAAGCCCAATTTGGTTTAAGACACAGAAGGAATTTGGTGGCCCACTTGCCTAGGCAGAGTTGACCTAAGGTCAGACCGTGGCTGGATCCAGGTGCTGAAACAGTGCCAGTAGGACTGCTTACTGCTGTACCTCCTATTTGGCTTCATTCCTTAGGGAGGCTTCCACCGTGTGGCAAGCTGGGTGGTCTCTGAGATTCCTCAAGTTCACATCCTCCCAATTTTACCACTTCAGAGAGAAGAAAAGCTGTCTCTTCTATTAGCTGTGGCACAGAAGTACTTGTAGACCTTTCCGAGTGGCTGGGCTTGATTGACCCTGAGCCAGTCATTGTTGCCAGGATGGTGTGTTACTTAGGATGACTTCAGTCATGTGCCCCATTCCTGTGTCTAGCAAGGGGAGGCCTGTGATTGGCAATCCTACCAAGACCTCATGGTATTCATGTTAATTACAACCATTCTTTTTTTTTTTTAACATTAAAATTAAATTTATTAAAACTCTTAATAAAGTAAAAGTTTAGGGTTGGCAAGCTAGCTCAGCAGTCTAAAGTGCCTGCTTAGGCAAGTTCAGGTAGGCTGAGGGGACTGCAGTTTGATACC